AGCACAATCGAACAACAAAACTACTTGATCGAATACGCAAGTTTGAAATCGATATCTAGAATTAAAGCTTTCTTTAATTTAAAAGGTAAAAATATCCAAATTGCAGAATTCTCAGATAGTTTACAGATGTAACTCAAAATGTAAATCGTTCTACATTTAGAACCGTAGATCATCCAGAATTGGAGAACTCGTTGATTTTAAGATCGATAAAGATTGTTGAGTTTGTTCTTTAGTTAAAAGTTTTAAATATTTCTTTGAGAAACTAATTTTCGTCTGCGTGGGAAGTTACTTTATTAGATTTTGTGAACCTAACAGCTGGCTGGGTCTTGAGGGGATTTTCATCTGTGTGGAAAGTATACATTATTAGACTTTATTGTCCTATTCAGAACTTGCTTGGTCTTATTTTAGTTGCTAAATTATGTTATATTTCTAAGAGAGAAAGATTCAATCCGAAATAGTTCCAAATTATCACAAAATACATTTCTTCTAGTATTAGTATAACTTTTCTTGTCATTATAACGAAATACATATGTGTATGTCTATATTTAAAAGAATATAGAACCTGATACTCGATGGAGGAACTATGAATAAAGTGTAGAGAATCGTCATTGTAGTCCTAGCATGGCCCCAGTGGAATTCACTCGACTCGCACTCGTCATTGTATGCCTAGCATGGCCCCAGTAGAATTCACTCGACTCGCACTTGTCATTGTAGGTCTAGCAATAGCCCCGGTGGAATTCACTCGACTCGCAATCGTCATTGTAGGCCTAGCATGGCCCGGTGGAATTCACTCGACTCGCAGTGTGTAGTTCGCAGTTTCGAATCTTGCAATCAAACATGCTTGCCTTTTCAGTTATGGGGACGTTGTAACGCGAGGGTCAATCCCACTAGTTGTTGGTAAAGCATAGTCCAAGAGTTAGTGGTTGTTGTTGCTGTTGTTGACTAGCTGCTTTTCATCTTGGTTAGCGCAGATCGCCCTTGAGTTGATTAAACAAACAACAAACAGTCATTATTGTATTTGTGTGTGTGTGTGTTTTCTTGTCTATTTTGTACGAACAGTTCATTACCTAAGCCTTTTTATATGTAGTATTTCTTCATACAATAACGATGTATTTGTTAACAAAATATGACTGCATGCTGGTTGTTACGAAAAAAATAAATAATCATGGTCTGTAATATGTTAAATTATTTGTATTATTAGATTCCTGTATTTTTATTTAATAAATGCGGCTCAAATACAATGCGACCCCTGTGAAACGTTGTCAGAACTTTACTCTTTAAACTATTACTGACACTCAAGTTTTGTTTTCGAACTACATCAGAGACGACCACTTTTCATGTACGTTCTACAATAAACTTTAGATCATAATACGTACAAGCACCTTACTAAACTGTTTACATAAACGCATCACGTGACAGGGTAGGGTCCCGGATGTCTCCTGTTTACCCGTTCTATATGAGCAGGGAAACAAATCAGTTTCTGGTAACCTGAGTACAATTTTGACCTGTTGAACCTAGCAAGGACATTTACACGTTACCAAATACACACACGTATATAGAACGAATGTGATTTGTGTGCGTTATATTTAAATATATGTTAAGTAAGACCTGTGTGGGGTATGTTTAAGCATATATAAAACCAGCTTTATATGTATTATGGTATTCAACGTCAATGGTATTAGCTTTGTATTGATTATATATTATATTGAAAGTTTTAAAAACGAAGCTGTCATGTTAGGCTTAGCAGTCCTCAGCGTAGCAAGTCATGGAGTGAGATTTGTTTGACAGTACGTGTACTTACGATTCATATTACCGCCAGAGAGCGAAGAAATCTAAAACGTAACTTGAGCTGAAAAGCTCAGTAATCTCAAACAAATTTTCATTATGAAAAGAGTAAAGAAATGTGGTGAAAAAACAAGTACACATTAGGCTTTCAACACTGAAGACATATAATGCTTTTTTAACATATGTTTTATCGTTAACTATCGGGTGTTATGGCGAACTGACATGGCTCGTAGTATAATTGACACATTGGTATGGATTGCGATTTGATATCCACTATGGACAGTTATTTTCTATATAAAAAAAAAAAATGTAGACATTTGTATAGGCTTAAAGGATACGTACCCTGATCACGTGACTAATAAAAATATCAGTAATATATTGTGAGGGATAAGTAAGATAAATCGCAAATTATTTAATTTTTTTCTAATTCCAATAAATCGGATATAAAATACATAAAACTGATTTGTTGTTCTATTTTGCATTTTACCGTTGTTCTGACTTTATTTGTGACATAGTAATTAGTTCTGTACCGTCGTCATGAAGAAGAACTGTTGTTCTGACTTTATTTGTGACATAGTAATTAGTTCTGTACCGTCGTCATGAAGAAGAACTGTTGTTCTGACTTTAATTGTGACATAGTAATTAGTTCTGTACCGTCGTCATGAAGAAGAAGGATGGGCTGTTGTTCTGGCTTTATTTGTGACATAGTAATTAGTTCTGTACCGTCGTCAGAAAGAAGAACAATGGGCTGTTGTTCTGACTATATTTGTGGCATGGTAATTAGTTCTGTATCGTCGTCAGGAAGAAGAACGATGGGCTGTTGTTCTGACTTTATTTGTGATATAGTAATTAGTTCTGTACCGTCGTCAGGAAGAAGAACGAAGGACTGTTTTTCTCGAAAATAATCTTGATTGGAAGATCTGTTGCACGTTTTAACATCTTCATGCAAGAAAGTTTTAAGCTCAACCAAATTATCACGTTACTCAATGAATTTCCGGTAGACTTTGTCATTCAGTTAACACCGTATTAGCTGTGCAAAGTCGCCACTCCCAAGTTATCCATCCCGCTACTACAAAAATAACTTCCTTGTTTGGGCAATTCCTCTTTCAAACCATCAAAAGTATTTGTACAATCATTTCCAAGTTTACTTCTCTCTCTCTCTCTCCTTCCTTTTTTTTCTTGAGATTTTCATCTTCACATAAAGGGGGCGGGCGTGGCCCAGTGGTTAACATGCTGGACTGTAGATCCGTTCACGATTCGACTCACTGCCGATTAATCGTTCTCCCCAGTTTGGGGTCATAAGGGCGTTATAAGAGTAACAGTCAAATCCTACTATTCGATCACAGAAGCCCAAGCGTCGGCTGTTGTTGCTATTGGCTAGCTGCTTTCCCTCTAGCCTATCAGCTTAATACTAGAGGCGGCTAGTGTAGATAACCTTTGTGTAGATTTGCGCGAATATCCGAACCAAATAATCAGATATATAAAGAGTAGACAAACAATCGGACGTAAAGATTGGATTGTGTAGTATAACGTGCGCTGATTGTGTATACTTTTTTTTCTCATGGTGCTGGAGCTTAGCGACAGGATCACTACATGTCTGCAGTGTTGTTTTGTTTTTTGAATCCCTAGACCACTTACGACAATTGGGGCATCTTAGATGCTGACGTAACATCGATTATTCCCGGGCAGGTGGCGCCCATCTCCTCTCCAGGTACCTGTCCCTAATTTAATAGTCAACACCATCCACCTCTAACTCTAGGTCTATTATTTTACCAATAAATAGTGAGATTGAGCGTCACATTATAACGTCTGAAAGGGCGAGCATGTTCAGCGACGGGAGTCGAACCCACGACTGACAAATTGCGAATCGAGTGCCCCTCACCATCAAGCCAGGTGGTTACAAAGATGGAATGATTGGATGTCTATTGGCACAACGTTTCAGTCAGGACATGCCTGTTCAGGAGCACAAACAACCTCCCCTTAACAACATTTGTGTTCATCAAAACGAACGGGAATCGCACATTAATGATACTTTCGTGTCGGGAAGATGATTCCATAGTTGTATTCTCTCCCGTTTCCCGGATATTCTTTAACATAATTAATTCACGAGGAACAGGCTTTTTTTTTCACTCGATTCGGACTGGCAAAGTAGTTAGCGTTTGCCAGGCTATGAATCCGAGGTCCATGGTTCGCGTCCCGTTACCCCAAAATAATCACACTTCGTGATTTGGGGTGATGAATGCATAAAAACAGCGCGTTCGTGTCCCACTATTCGATTAGAATAGTCTAAGAATTAGTGGTGGGGCTGTTCAATAACTGATTTTCTTCTAATTTTTCAGTTCAAAATTAAGGAAGGCTACCGACAATAGCCCTCTAGTAGCTTTGTGTGAATATAACAAGTTTTGTGGGAACGTCTGAAACAGTCAATCAATATACTGGACTTTATTCTTTAAGATTACCAATTATTGTATTAGTAATGCCCAGCTATTGCCATACATTGTGTTAGAAATATTCAAACGTAACAATTCTGGATATCATCAAGCAAAATACAGCTCGTACAGACTAAAGATGGCGCAGTAAATAAAACTCTTTTTTTTTTCAGTAATACCATCACAGCTTTTCGAAGTGGCATTAGCAATAAAATTCGACAGTTGTCAGTAATTTCCTTTCAAACGATTCTGAATACGGGTTTCTGTAAAAAAAGATTAATAAAGTTTAGAGACACGCTTGAATGAATATCGAGGAAAACTTCATTATAATTTTAAGAAAGTAACTATTAAAATCCGTACTAAATAAAACTGATATACAATCAAATATCAATGGGTAATAACTGCCCAACATTCCAAAAATTAGAGAAACCGGAAAAAGATTGTTGACTAGATGCACTGAACATAATAAAAACAAACAAACTATGTTTCCAAGCATTGCAACTCTAAAAAAAAACCATAGTATATCTATGTCAAACACTCATTTTAAACAAAGAACCAGATATCAACAAAGTCATCATAATTGAACAACATAGCCCTTCTTCTGAACCAGCGCCCTCGGGTGTTAAGATTCATTTACTAAGCAATCTCCGGTCATGTGACTTCTTTGTTTCGTACTGTGTACATATATTCCCGCGTCTAGGTAAACTACTCTTTCAAGGTGTTTTTATAGCGAAGTAGAATATTTAATTTCAACCATAAAAATATTTACATATATGTTCATGATTTCGTAAATTACGAAGGAATCTTTCTGAACAGGTTATTCCTGGTACTATTGGTAATCAACACTTGAAACCTGGAGATGTCCTTCTGAGGATCAGCGACCGAAGCGCCACCAACCTGACTGTAGCTGAAGCGGAAGATATTATTGCTCAAAGTCAGAATCGTATTGAGCTCTTGATTCAAAAGTAATGCGTTTTTACAATATCTGATTGGTTTAAGTAAGAAATAAGTGATATCGATTCTATTAGCTTACTTGACAACAAAACTGTTAAGCTAACTTAATCCATTAAACTGTTTATTATCATTCACATAGAATTATGTGTTTTTTTTTGGTTTTCTTTTTCGATTTGATATTTCAGAAAATTTGAGTTTATAACTTTTAGCTTTAACAAAATATAACATGTACTGATTTGTTGGCCATCTTCTGTCTTGGAAATGTATTCCCCGTTTCTTATTTGTTCGAGTATGTTTCGCCATCTTGTGATTTTCACAGAAGTTACTTGCTAATATATATTAGGCTTAGCTGTCTGACTGTGGATGTTTACTGAAAATCGTAACTTTGTAATAACAAAATGATGCTACTTAGTTACCGGGTTTTCCTTGCCTTGACTACGTTATTAGCTTTGACTTGTTCTACTTCCGCAGGCTGTCTGAAAGTGTTCTGTTTCAAGACTGTGTTGTAGCCTACAGAGTGCATAGTTCTTCTCGTGATTCATGGCATGCACACGTTTTACTGACGTCACGACAGTACAAATTGCAATATTAAGTGTCCCTTATGTGACGTCATTTTAGTGTCAACTGACGGGCAACACACTACTGTATACAGGTGCGAGTGGTTAAAACAGGTGACCCCTTCAGGCGGCCTTAGGCCCCCTTTCGGGGAACAAGTAAAACCACTTATGGAAATCGTGGAATAAACGTAAATGAAAATACTCAGTATATTGCTAGGTTAAAATAATAAATATCTATTCGGTAAAGTGTAAAATAATAAAATAGGAAGTAACTCTTATTACTGCTGATATTGGACAGATGTAAATAACATGATTAACTTATAGATAAAATAACTGACGAAACGCCATAAAAAGCCAAGAAAAATAAGAGAAGGCCAATCGATAAGTACAAAGCAACATCATTGTGTTGATTACAGTAGTGTTATACTCATCGACAACATAAACACAACACAAACTAGAACAAAGGTTCCATTGTTAAAAGGCCTGACAAGGCTTAGCGGTTAAGGTTCTAGACTCGCAATCTGAGGGTCGCGGGTTCGAATCCCCGTCACCAAACATTTCAGCTGTTGGGACGTTATAATGTGACGGTCAATCCCATTTTTCGTTGGTAAAAGAGTAGCCAAAGAGTTGGCAGTGGGTGTTGTTGATATTAGAAACGGCTAGCGTTGATAGCGAAATTCAAACCAAACCATTGTTAAAACAGTGAATACACTAGAGGGGCACTCATTAAAGCGCATACCTCCGCTACGCGGCGTTGTTATCCACGGACATGGACGATGAGAAATAGTATTCTACATATCTCCACCAAGTTTCATCAAAATCCAATAATTTATGACTGAGTTATATTAACAAAAATAGTGTTGAAAAAATCGGTCCCATATTAACAGATAGGGATTTTCGTGACCAACCTGTGACTTT